TTTTTTTTTTTTTTTTTTTTGGAGGGTGGCTATAGCTAAAAACGTGTGTGTGTGTGTGTGTTTGTATGTGTATTAAAGCAGTCTTTCCATCCTTGATTTGTTAGTCTAGCCCATGTCACAGCCATATGGTATCTCATGCCGGTTATAATTCCTGTTGGTGGGATTTAGTATTTTCAGAGACACACACATGAGAAATTGCTATTCCTGGAAGCCTCCATGTGTTTGCCACTGTTCAACTGTTGTATTTTAACTCATTAGCAAGAGCTTTTCCCAGTGCATAAAGGAAGCAGCCTTACACTGGTTTTCTCTTAAAGAAGGTCCACTGATAAGGGGCTTTAAGACTGCTATCTAAATCTTATACTGACAAAAAAATTGTGTTCTCATTTCCAAGGGGAAATAAGAAAAGGATCTTGAATGCAATTTTACTTACTTACTTGCTCAACATTATTACAGGATTCAAACCCAGACTACGTGTGTATGTGTGTGTGTGTGTGTACACACACACAGATACAGATATATACTAAGCCTGTTACTGAGCTTGTTCTACTTCGCTGTCAACACTGCATGGATTCCACAGGCCACAAATGGAAACTTTGTGACAGCAAGAGTCATCTTGAGATCTTGATCTACCCAAAGAAGCTGTGCATAGAGAGAATGAAGCTTTGTCTCTACAGTATTGCACTGAAACACATTGCCCCCTGGAGATGTTATTATATTTATTTTCTTTTACATTTATATTTTAATAATAGATTATGATTATGGTATGTAATCAGGATTAACTTTTTCAGAAATATACGATGGTTAATTTACTTATGATCTGTGAACAAGAAAATATATTAGTAATGCACTGTTTGCAAACTTTGTGGAAACCTCATATTTCCTAGGTTTTGTGGATGTAATGTTTCTTTTCTAAATACCAGCTATGTATTCTGACACCCACAGCAAACATCTGTGTTGGGGACCCCCCCTTCCCTTCACTGAAATGTTCATCCTCCTCCTACTTGAGAAGCCAACTTCTGAAGTTCTCAGAATTGTCTGTTGCCTGCTAAATTTGGAAGTTAACAGAGCTCGTGGTTTCTACCATACGTATTAACCTCAAAACACAATCTTTTGAATCCTTCTTGTATATTAATTTCTGATTTCAATAGGATGGGAACTATGTCCTTCTAACTGGCTCAGGATGACTGAGATTGTTACTGAGGGTTTAGATTCTCATGGAGGAGAATAGATAGATCAGTTGCTATCCAGTGGCCAGCCAGGAGCCAATGGATTCTTTAGGATTCAAGGACAATAAACTCATACCATGGTGAAATGCCAGAAAGGGTTTTATTGAGTAAATATTAAGACAGTTAATAGAGAAACAAAGATAAACCAATTCACATCCCTTCAGCTTGCCAGGAACACCGAGAATGGCAGTGGATGAACTACCTGGAGCTCACAATTGTGCATCAGCATCCTAGAATGTCTGCTCTAGACCAATGTTCAGACTGGAGGCTTTCACCATCTCTTTATGCCAGAAAGGGACAGAGAGTATAAACAATAATACGTGGTAGTACCTCTCACCAAGGACTTGATCGTACCATTAGACAGTGGAACCTCTGCCAAGGATATTTTTAGGGAAGACCAGATCCCTAGCAGATGGCAACTGAGGATGGTTGATGGCATACCTGGTCAGTAGCCTGGGAACCTAGATAAGTGACCCTTTGCTAAGAGTGTGTTTATGAGGCGCTTGTTCCCTATCTCCTTAGCTGGTGTGCACCTCTCCCTTAGATTAGGGAGCTGGTGCTGTCCTCTTTATCTTAATTATTGAAGCAGGATTACAGATAAGAGGCAAGCAAGAGTGATTAACAATAGAATGATGCAATCTGCAAGGCTTGCTAAATAACTTCTTCTAAGGGCAGGTGTGAAGGAATGTGCAGTACAAAGCTTGGTAAATTATAGAGATTGCTTCAGCTGGCTAAATAACCCTTTCTACACAGGTATTTCTTCTGTCTGTCTGTCCATCCATCCATCCATCCATCCATCTGTGCAAAGGGGAAAAGGGGGTCCACAGCACTGTTTTTCACGTCCCATTTAATCCCCCTACATTTTAAAATCTCTGGGCATTTATCTGGAACAAAGGGGGAGATGAGGAATGTGTGATTCTGAAAACTAGATCCTCTAGCTTAAATACTGAAGACCATTTTTTTCCCCTAAGTTTCCTTTTACCCACTCTCATGCTAAGCTATTTGGCCTGGAGCACACCTCTCTCCTTCAATTCCACTTGCATAGGGACCATCTGCTGCTCCAAACTTCAATTCCATGGAGAATCTCAAATGAAATGTGTTGCTTATTTCCTTGGACCAAATACATGTTATGTTCCTTGCCATGTCGTTCAGGGGTGGCCAAGTCATCTCTTTAGTTCAGCACCTTTTCTATACCAAAGCAACATGCTAAATCTTCTAGGCATGCAAGGAGAGTAAATATGCAGCAGGTATTCTGTTTAGAAACATATTACATAAGAATAGCATATACACAAAGGACATAGTTTATTGCTTCAGTCTTAATTGGGTAGTCCAACATCCAGAGACTTAGATGTCTCCTTTGTATCTTAGCTGTGTGACAGTGACTAACTTTTTGGAGACCCTGAAGCAGTCTTCTGCAGCACTGTTTGCCATATGTGCACATCGTTTATCCCAATATGATCTGCCTAGATAGACCATTATCCAGTACAGTGGTACCTCGGTTCACGAACTTAATTCGTTCCGTGACTCTGGTCGC